ATACTGCTCCAATGTCAATCTTGATAGGGCATAATTTAACCAGTTCCTTCCTGAGATCTGATGGCGAATCAAAACTCTGGTATCGAAGATAGATATCACCATTTAATGTGAAGCTCAATTCTCTTTTGGAAAGCTACAGAAATTAGATACGACAATTTACTCCACTACTCCGAGAACTATATGTGAGCCATTGTGCAAATAGATCGCACGGGAAAAGTCGCCTATAATAAATCTTTAACAATTCTTCTGAAAATGCGGACTCCATTCCAACCAAACCTTTGGCTTGAACCACCAAGGTCAACCAACTTTCAGTGTCTTCTGGAAACGAAACATTGAACAGGCGAAATTGCAATTACCCTCTAAATACTCTTCTTGGTGTTTCCGTGGATTATATACACTTTGGTGAGTTCATTTAAAAACTCTAGAAATAACTTGTTGCATTGTTTCGAACGGGTAAACTTTAGTTTTAAAATCAGGAATCCATGTCACAACAATTCCCATGGCAATTTAGTGCTCCAAGTTGCGACCATGACATGGTGGCTAGGTTTGCTTTTCGTGATGGCCCGACCGAGCTATATTAGCTTTAAAATATGTTCCCGTACGTTATATCATGCCAGGCAGGTTGACTGGCGAACAGTGAGACTAAAAGCAGCTATTCAAGGTCTGAGGGCGAAGTGGTACTGCTGAATGTAGAGGGGTTTGACTGCAGTAAGGTGTTTCCCTCGGACATTCAGCATGTTCAGCGATGATGCCTTCTCAATAACTTTTATCATAAAGCCCCATGGCACTTCAAAATGTACACTTTTCAAACTTCAAAACAGATTTCAAGTGGTTTAACTTAATTTTTCTTGTTGTTTCTGATATCGTTTCACTTAATTCAATGACTGTGAAATACTAACATTCAGTTTTGCCCTTGTTTTATTTCACTAATAATAAACTGTTGAAGAATGTACAAATCACTACCATGTCAGTCAGTTGCAACGTAAGAACTTTGTACGTATGTACATAAGTTCAGGTTGCCATACAACATTAGCACAGAGACGCAAATGTCAAAACAAATCCCATAGTGATAAAGATAGTAGAGGTATTAATGGTAATGAAGAAGACTAGGGTTTGAAGATATTATTCAAGAAGTATAATTCAGTGAGATACGGTTACAAAGACAAAAGTAGAGGTGCTGACGAATCCATAAGATTAGGATTTGAGAGAGCATAACGAATGGATGCACTTGCGCCATTGCAAAAGATTTTGAGCCATGTCGTTCAAGGTCTCTAACCATCGATTATTATCATCTCGCGGACCCCAACCAGGTAGTCTACATCTACCAACATGACTCAGTCCACTTGTCAATGACTTCATGGATTTCTGCCATGTTTTGGTCTGACCGCCCCTAACTTTCTTCCAACCTACTCCTACACTACAAAATATAGCTCGTTGAGGCAGTCGGTGGTTAGGCATACGTAACACATGTCCCAACCACCTCAACTGATGAAGTTTCATTACTTCATCTATTGATCTGCCATCCTTACCTAGCACTCGTTTCCTAACGACAGCATTGCTTACTCGGTTGTCCCATGATACACGAGCAATGCTTCAGAGACATCGATGATCGAGTGCTAGTAACCTACGAATGTCCTCAACTATTAACGGCCATGTTTCGCATGCGTATAGGAGAACGGAGCGAACTGCTGCGCAGTACACCCGTCCTTTGGTCAGCGAACGGATATCACGCCTATGCCATAAGTGACGCAGGTTGGCAAAAGCCAATCGAGCCCTCTGTATCCGAGCTGAGATTTCGTCAGTCACCAGGCTATCAGCGCTGATGAGACTCCCCAGATAACTGGAGCGATCAACACGCTCGACTACTTCACTTCCTATCACTAGTTCAGGTGCCGATGCAACCCAGTCTTGAAGCAACATTTTGCATTTCGAGGGGGAAAACCGCATCCCGAACATGCTTGCATTGTTGCTTATGGTATTCAGAAGACTCTGCATTTTGTCAGCGTCTTCACCGAATAGAACTATGTCATCTGCATATTCTAGATCAGTAAGCGACTTTCCTGGAAGGTCAACCACTGAAAAATCTGACGAGTTTAATGTTAACTCTAAGAGGATGTCTACGACAAAGTTAAACAAGAATGGAGAGAGTGGACAGCCCTGACGGACACCACTTGATGTAGAGAATTCAGATGACAGTTCGCCATAAGCTCTCACCCGATCAGTAGTGTTCGAGTAGAGAGCTTGTATAAGGTTAATGTACTTCTTTGGTACACCTTTCAATGACAGACACTGCCACAGAACCTCACGATCCACTGAGTCAATTGCCGCTTTTAGGTCCAGGAACACGACTATTTTCGGACGTCTAGATGTGTCTGTGTTCCAGGACCTGTCGTAGTGTGAAGACAAATGTTATTCGACATACGATGTTTACAAGTTCCAACTAGTGTACGAAAGAAATATGACTAAAAATAGTTGTTAGTTCTCAAATGAAGTACAAGACATGGATAGATTAGATTATCGCCTTGGAAATTCCAAAGGGGTTACTTGCCTAAGCCTGTTATTGTAATTCCGTCCTGGGTTTTTCCTTTACTGTCTCATTATCTAATATCATTTTCATGAACTATTATATATAATTTAGATTCTTCGCACTCGCTTCTCATTCTTTCAGTATGGTTCCATGTATTCGGTGACGTTAAATGGATGATAGTCTTGCCGTTCTGCTGCACTGACTTAAGCCATTTGGTAGTTATTTATGAAGCCTAATGTCTCCTGATTCCAGTGAGAGCATTTGTCTCAGAGAAGGAAAGATTCTGGATACTATCAGCTTTCACATTACAAGGCAGGAGACCACTTAGTTATTAATAAGGAGATAATTCTAATGCTAATGAGATTTTGGAATTGAATAGACAAAATAATATATCGATCGGTAATGAATACTGCAGGAGAGAATGGAAGTGTAAGTGAAGAAGATAATACAGAGATAAGAGAGCACAAAACTGGTTGTTAGCTCCTTGATGTGCGAAAAATTGAGATACCGAGTGAGGTACGATGGTGAATATTCGGTAAGATGCTCATGGTGTGATGATATTGCGTATTTGATATGTTGAATGCCGTAGGTAGATTAAATTTCAGTCTCCTATAACTAAAAAGAAAAATTTCAAATGCTGTATTCTGACTTGATAAAGTTACTACTTCAGAAAGTCACCGATTAGCTAATCCTATATGCTACTCAGTATTTTAAGTTCTATTCTGATTCTCAAAGAACAATGTACCTCGATGAACTATTTTAACTCAGAGTCTCAAGATTCCTATTTTCAGCTTGCATGGCGATACGGATGAGTGATTTCTGGAATGTAAGGTTTATTCAGCCCCAGAGCTTTATCATAATTTCTTCCTCAGCCTAAAGTTGGTTTGATCTTCCCCACAGCCGGTTGTTTCTGGTTTGCGATAAACGAATTCGGAGTATCCTGTAGAGAAGACTAATGATAAAGAGCTGCATCGTCTGGATGGTGGTCTTTTAGTTTTCCAATTTTACACACCATACAACAGAACTCTCCTGACGATTATGATGAAAATTCTGACTTTGTCATCGGCTGACAAATGTTTTCAGTTGCAAATGTTCTTAAACTGTAGAAAAGCTCTCCTTACTTAGCTAATTAATGTTTTTTCACCTGCATCAGATTCACCTTGCCCATCAATGATGCAGCCTAGTTGTGTAAAGATTTCTGCACTATCCAGGGATCTTCCATCAGTTATGCTTTGGCTGGTGCATGTTGTGTTGCCATCTTTTATGCGAGGTCTTTCATTGTCGTCCATCATAAGGATTCCGTATGATATTGGCTATCATTTCAAGTTCTCCGTATTGCTATCCTATCTACGATATCTAATGCTTTTTCGCACTCATGTGATCTGTTGTTGTACATATGCTTCACACATGCGCACAAGGAGTTGCACTGATACTGTAAAAAGAATCTCAAAATGCACTAATATAATGAAGATCTCATGAACCTGGAGTCAAAAAAGCCCCCTTGAATACGAAGAATGAGGAAATTACAATGAATGTCATTCACTGACATGTGCTCGTCAACGATATCAACGAGGACGATGACAGAAATATTTGTCAAAGCAGAGGTAAAACGTACAAAATGTCTAATCAGCGGGAAAAACGTGCTGTCGAACTGAATCTTCAAGACCTTTGAAAACCCTTCGAATTAAAATTAAATGATCATGAGGGAGAGAAGGGAGAGCATTTTTTGGGACAACCAAGTGTATGAAGACCCTAAGCATGATCTGTTTATCTAACATTTTGTGCTTCATTAACAAGCAAAAACCCAATAAATAAATCACAACTAACCCTAATGCCTTGCTATGAAGTCGCCAGTGTGGACTTCAGTGTGCAAGTCGATTAGGATTCTGAAACACCCTTACAGTGAAGGCTAGACAGCAGGCGGAAAAATGGGAGCCATGATCTTTCTGTCAAACTTCAACTATTTACTATATCTCTCTCTACAGAGTGCTACCCTAATAACTGCAACAGTACAAATACCACCCTCATCCACAGTGCAATGCAAGCCCGAACTTGGAATCTAGTCGGTCAAAGTAAAAATGATTCGTAATAAATTTTGTTGAAAATCCTCTCCAGTTGTGGCAGGTGTAGGTACGTGAGAAACTTTCATTGCAAATAATGACACAAGAAGCTATACCTTCTTTTATTTCTAAAAAAAACTGAAGCTGGGATGTTGATTCAACGATTCGCTCAATAACCCTTCGGAAACTTTAAGAAACCTTCGATATTGATTACTGTATAAAGACCGCGTAGTTCACCCTTACTTCAAGGATGGACAGTGAAGTTATTTCTGCGGGTATGTCACTACTTTCCTGACTTAAATGGCTTCTGGAAATCAGATGGATGTAATATTGATAACATTAGCTCACTATCCGCGGAACCTAAGGTAACAGATGGCGAAATTATACAAACAGAAGTCGTTGATGAATCAAAGGTCAATGAAAACGATCCTTGCTCGTTTGTAGAAGAGGAAAGAAACGCAGTAATTGCCGCCGCTGTTGCTGACTTTGACGCAGATGATCAGTGCGAAGAGAATGATGGTGACGACGATACAGTTAATGTCATTATAAAGCCTTCCAGTAAAACAGGAATTTACAAAACCGGTGCTGCTTACCAAGCTCGATCAGTCTCTCACACAACTCAACGTAAGATACATGTGTTTCTAAACTGGTATGACGTTTGCCAATTTTTTTTTATCTGTTTTGGCTTGCATTCCAATAAATGGGTTATCTTTAGTACTAGTTATCTATCACGAAATCTTAAGACCCATTTCATTTGGTTTGCGTCTAATACTTGGGCTTTAACGGCTGCTATATAGTTAAAACTGAACGATAACGTAGAGCTTTGCTAAACGAATAGTTTTATTACAAAAGGAGAATGTAGAGCGGGTATTTAATGGGGAAAGTATTTTTATTCAATGTTGACATCAAGTTGTTGAGCTTTAGTAAGATTCTGGAAAACTTTCTTAAACGATTTTCAAGTTTTCACAATGAAAGTATCCCTAAAAAATCGTTCTCAGCGCTTCGTCATAGCTTTTATTCGTACCTTCAAACTGTAAATTATGATGACAGCTCAAAGTAAATGGTTCGTTCATTTTAAGGGGTCTCAAAAATGGCTCAATCAGTTATAAGAGTCAAACATATGCTTCGAAAAATGATCCCGTTTATCTATAAAGCAACCAACTAATATTATCAACTGTAGATGTAGAAATAAATAATTGAAAACAGATAAAGTCCTTATTGTGAGAGATAATTTAAATTATGTACATGATGAAACAGCAGTATCATGGAAAAACTTTTTGGCTGAGAAATACCAAAGTTGAAAAGTGTTACAATCGTTTTTTGAGGACTTAATTTTTGTTATATCGTGGTGTTCATGTTAAGCGAGTTTTACAACTGAGCAAAAACTAATATAGCCTAATTCAAGAAAGAAAAACTGTAAATGAGGATATATTATGCATCAAAAATCGACAAAGGAAAGTGAATTCACTGAGTTGTATTTTACTTGTATTGATCCATAATCAAACTTTAAATAATTGAACTGGACGGTTATGTACTTAATTTCTTAAGCTTATTATTTTTTTCTGACGTATGAAGCCGCTGGTAATTGATCTCCAAGCAGCTCTGTTCTTCACTCTCCAAGTTGTTACCAGGTGTTTTTTGATGGTTTAGATTTCTGCCTTCAACTCGCGGCCCCATAGTTTTCTTATCTTGGTAATTAATTAGGACTCATTAGCTAGGACTTTAGAATCTCGTGCCATCGATGTATGCTGCGTCTCGGAAACGCGCATACAGGATCCTAGTAAAGTCATTAACCTGATTCCACCTTGTCAAAATGAAGAAGCAGCTCGATTCACTCTTCGTGTATCCGGTAGCCCTGATGCTGCTTCCAGGGGTCTTGCTGGCGTAGGCATAGCGTTGAGTCCTAGGGCAGAATTATCTCTCCTAGACTGGATCCCAGTAGATAGTCGTTTGTGCGCTGTCCGACTAAACGGGACAGTAAGGACTCGTAAGGATAGGGACACTCGCCGTTGCCTATTCGTCATATCTGCCTATGCCCCCACTGACTGCAGTGCAGACGAGGTTAAAGATGAATTTTACAGAAAGCTTTCGGACCTCCTCCAAAAAGCTAGGCGCTCTGATATAGTAATAATGGCTGGTGACTTTAATGCTCAAGTAGGTAGACTAGGTGAAAAGGAAAGACATCTAGGTGGATGTTATGGTGTAGCGACTGAGAGAACAGACAATGGCGACCGTCTGTTGCAACTATGCTCAGACAACCGCCTATTCTTAGCGAACACCAACTTTAGGCATAAGGAAAAGCATCTGTTGACCTGGCGACCCCCGAAGTCGTCTCAACGTTGGACTCAACTAGATCACATCGCCATCAGCCACCGATGGAGGGGTTCGATAGAAGACTGTCGCTCGTTCTGGGGCACATGTTTGGATTCAGATCATGCTCTAGTTCGAGCTCGTATCTGCTTAAGGCTTACTGGACGTAGGAAAGACACCGTAAGAAAGCCTCTTAGGGTTTTACTTAATGATAATCAAACCAAGAAAATATTTCAGGAGCAACTAGAAAGAGAGTTAAGCAACCATGCAAGCGATTCCCATCCAGAAGCAGGTTGGTATGATATCAAAAAGGCTGTGGAAACAGCAGTGATATCTGCTAGCAAGGTTGACCATAAGGCTAGAATGAAGCCGTGGATCTCAGTAGCATCCACCGATCTGATGGATGCCCGAAAACTCATCCCACCTGGCTCTGAACATGATGAAGAGCGTAGTCAACTTAGGCGCAGATTTATAAAAAGCGTACGTAACGACCGTGAACAGTGGTGGGTGGCGAAAGCAAAAGCGATGGAAAAGGCAGCGGCGATAGGCAACAGTAGGCAACTATTTAGACTCATCAAGGAAACTGGTATTAGGAACCCAACTGTGAGTGAAACTATTTCAGAAAAGGATGGTCTTATTATCCATTCTCAATGCAGGAGACTGGATCGATGGGCAGAACACTTTAGGGATCAGTTCAACTGGCCACGAGCCACTCTTCGGTTACCCACGATCTCCAGTCATCCTGAATGGCAAATCGACGCAAGTCCCCCCAGTCTTAATGAAGTTGAGAAAGCGTTAGGAAATCTGAAACGAGGACGAGCTGCAGGTCCTGATAGACTGACCCCTGAGATATTTAAGGATGGTGGTCCAGTTTTAGCAGCTAGGTTGACTGAGATCTTAGGTAGAATCTGGGAACTGGACGCAATCCCATCCGACTGGTCTCAATCCTTGATTGTCCCAATCTATAAGAAAGGACAAAAGTCTTCTTGTGACAATCACAGGGGAATAAGTCTAACTAATATAGTATCTAAAATACTGGCCTCAATAATACTTCGACGCTTAACGAAAGCTCGTGAAGAGCAGACTCGAGAAAACCAGGCTGGTTTTCGACCTGGACGTGGCTGTATAGACCACGTCTTCACACTCAGACAGGTCCTGGAACATAGACACACATTTAGGCGTCCTACAATAGTTGTTTTCCTGGATCTTAAGGCGGCATTCGACTCAGTGGATCGTGAGGTTCTGTGGCAGTGTCTGTCATTGAAAGGTGTACCAAAGAAGTACATTAACCTTATACAAGCTCTTTACTCGAACACCACTGGTCGAGTGAGAGCTTATGGCGAACTGTCACCGGAATTCTCTACTTCAAGTGGTGTCCGTCAGGGTTGTCCACTTTCTCCATTCTTGTTTAATTTTATCATAGACATGCTCCTAGACATAACATTATCCTCGTCTGAATTTTCAGGAGTAGACCTTCTACCAGGTGGCTCGCTTATTGACTTAGAATATGCCGATGACATTGTCCTACTTGGTGAAGACGCTGACGAAATGCAGAGTCTTCTGACTACCCTAAGCAACAATGCAAGCATGTTCGGGATGCGGTTTTCCCCCTCGAAATGCAAAATGTTGCTTCAAGACTGGGTTGCATCGGCACCTGAACTAGTGATAGGGAGTGAAGTAGTCGAACGTGTAGACCGCTTCACTTATCTTGGTAGTCTCATCAGTGCCGATGGCCTGGTGACTGACGAAATCTCAGCACGGATACAGAAAGCTCGATTGGCTTTTGCCAACCTGCGTCACTTATGGCGTAGGCGAGATATCCGTTTGCTGACTAAAGGACGAGTGTACTGCGCAGTGGTTCGCTCCGTCTTACTTTATGGCTGTGAAACATGGCCAATGAGAGTAGAAGATACTCGTCGGTTATTGGTTTTCGATCATAGATGTTTAAGAAGCATTGCTCGTATATCGTGGGACACCCGAGTGAGCAACGCTGTTATTAGGAAACGGGTGCTAGGTAAGAATGGCAGATCAATAGATAAAGTATTGAAACTTCACCAGTTGAGGTGGTTAGGACATGTGTTGCGTATGCCTAACCACCGACTGCCTCGTCGAGCCTTGTTTTGTAGTGTAGGAATAGGTTGGAAGAAAGCTAGGGGCGGCCAGACCAAAACATGGCAGAAATCCATGAAGTCATTGACTAGTGGACTGAGCCATGTCGGTAATTGTCGACTACCTGGTTGGGGTCCGCGAGATGATACTTACCGATGGTTAGAGACCTTGAATGACATGGCTCAAAATCGTTCGCAATGGCGCCGGTGCATTTATTCTTTGTGTTCTCTCAAATCCTAATCTTCTGGATTCTTCAACACCTCTAGTTTCGACTCTCTAAACTTTTCTCACAGAATCATACCTCTTGAATAGTATCTTCTAATCCTAACCTCTCCGATTACTTCTAATTCCCTTACTACCTCTTCTACTATTGGATTTGAATTGACGATTACTTCTCTGTGCTGATGTGGTATGGCAACATGAACTGATGTGCTTACGTACGAAGTTCTACGTTGCATCTGACTGACTGACTGACTGACTGTTTCGTCATGACCACAGGCGAAGTCTACTGACGAGTGCGAAAACTGATGAAACCTAGGTCGGGTGTTCCTTGCCCAACAGCCACCTTACATATGATGTTTTGAGGATGGTTATAGTTGTTGTTCAGTGGCAGTGTCTATCATTGAGAGGTGTACAACAGGAGCATATTAATTTTCTACAGGCTCTCTAGTAGAACACAATTGTTGGAGTCAGAGCCTAAGGCGAACTGTCGTCGGAACCGCTTACTTCAGATTATGTTTATCGCAATTGTCCGTTTTCTCCATTCATATTTAGATGTGCAATGGAAATGCTTTTAAAAATAACGCATTGATGGACGAACGATGTTTTGTGATGTATGTGTTGGTTGAAGGAAGGTTATGGGCTCTCGAAAGAAGACATGGCATAAATCCATAAAGTCACTGACAACTGGATCAAGTGATGTTAGTAGATGTAGACTGCGACATAATGGTAACGGATGGTTAGAGACTATGAATGACATTGTTCATTGCAACGGCACAAATGCATCTGTTCTTATTTATATAATTTAAACACAGAAACATTAGTAAATAGTGGCACCTAAATGTTTGTGCGCGACACCAATTATTGAACTTGTGAGTTGGTTGGGATTCTGTCCGAGTGCTGAAACGGAGTCGGACAATAAATGAAAGCTTTTAGTTCAACGAACAAAGAAAGTACGAAACTTAATGGTGTAGTCTTTTGCCTAT